GACAGTTGCAGCTATCGCAAAATCTGGGGCATTATTGTGGCAACGCATTCTAAACCGCATAAAATACCTGATATCTGTAAAAAAACGGGACTAGGCCTCGACGAGGTAGGAGACAATTCAGGTGCGTTTTATAACAACTCTTGCGTGAGGTGCATTTTCGCTGAGCGGCCCCGTGAAGGCCAAAAAATGGTGAGGGGCGCTATTGCAATATGAGGGGGCACTGTGATGGTAAACACATTTAAAACCGCGTGAAACATGCCTTCCTTGCTAAAAACGGGACTAAGCCTTAGGGGAGGATATACTCCAAGGTGCGGGAGCCATTTTCATTCTCCCTAAAGTACTTGCCCCCCACCCCCACCAGGGCTTTGTCCTGGATGATGCCCCCTTATCTTGCGATAGCGCCAGAAAGTATTCTACTCAGGGATTTCCTCGATTTGCCCCATCGCTGACCCAGTGCTCCTGAAAACTTGACTTACCCAGATCAATGCTGTCTGGGAGCGGTATATGATGTCTGTAGTACTTATGAAAGTGGATGTATCGTGCTTCCCGTGTCGAGAACTGACAGCCGGACTCGTCGCATCTGGAATTTGTTGGTTATTTGATCTGTTGAGGATGACCAACGACTAGTAACCCGTGGTAAGTTCAGACCTGATTGGGGGGTTGCGGTGATAGATAGTCACATGATAAGACACCGAATTGTATCGTCCATAGATCTTTCGGCATACTGTACACATAAAACCGTTGTCGACTTTCTCGATGTACTTCTTGTTTCGACACCATCCTGTAAAATCGTTGGTAATTCCACGGGGAAATAAATGTCTCGGAGGCGGGACGGTTGCGCCGAGCTGTGTTGTCTGGTCATATGGAAATGTTGCTCTCGCGCTATGGACGTCGGTTTTCTTTTCATGATTGGCGCCGCGCCATTCGACGAGTGACATTTTGTACGCGCTTGGATCAGTAGAACGAAGAAAAGAAACAATGCTGACTAAGTTGGTCAGCCGGCGCTCAACAACAGGTTACGGTGAAATTGGACGAAAAGGCTAGTGAGCCAAATGGGAAAGTATGGGAAAACAGGCCATGAGACGAACCTTCTTTGTCGTCATTTGGCACGATTTTCTCGCTAAATATCGTCGGAGTGTTACGTGGTGATGACAAGTCGTCGGTAAGAGCTCTGAAATTGGCTTTTCCGGTAGATGATTCAGTTCAGAGCAGAATTGCCTGTTGGCCTGAGGAACGGGTCGATTCATTACCTGTTGTCGTCTACTGGAGGAGTCGGTGGAGTCAGCAACGAAGTCGTCTGGCAGGGTATTACACTGGCCCCAAATGTAATTACAACTGGCCCAAAGGTACCGAAGCAACAATACCGGTCTGCAATTACAGCCCAGCAAGAGGTTCGAAGGTACCGTCTGCCTGAAACTATTGGCTATCAGCACGAGTGCTATCATCAAATCTACATTTTTTTATTATGTTTATATTCACAAGCCAGAAAAGATCTCATATTTAATTTAATAATGCGACTATCGCTATCGAGAAACAGTCTAGTGACCTAGTCGTGATTCCTCTGGGAGATTTATGTTGGACAACAAGGCGAGAAAAGGAATTCAAGTCCATGCTTAGTTGCCAACAGTTTGCTTTCTATCGTGCTCCATAAGTCTGGCACCTGGCGGCTCAAACAAATCTACATTTTAACGCGCGATCGAGAGAAGTCTCCAACGGAGAACTTCCTAAGAATCCCGCAGAACACAATTTCTCGAGAACAGACAAGCCATTCATCGGATACATTTTTGTTTTCATTTGATGACGTTCATCGATTGAAGTCAATACCATTCAAAACCCAACCTCGCGATGTATCAGCTAACGAGAAGTCAGTCGCCAGTGAACAGCCCACTTAGCATCAGCTTTCTAGACAGCGTTTTCTCATTCGAGCATATACGCCACTAATGCTTCTCAAATCGTTGATTATCTACTCCTCTGTTGCCAGTTTAAGCTTAATCGATCATATTCACACGCGATTCCAATGGCAACGCTACTTCCAGCGGTAGCCAGGCTTTCCGAAACCGAGCCGAGCTGCATGACAATACCAGTCTATGGCCAATCACAGGTTCGTCGGAAAAGCAGCCTAAAGTTTACGAGTATTGCTTGTAATGCCAGTTCCGCAGATAGAATAGAAAAATCGAAATTTTGGACATCGAGGATTGTCTCACACATAGCGGGTTAATCGGAAGGAACTGACGAGTATCGTTTTCTTCTTTTACTGCCTACGCGACGTTGAGCACTGCATCGAAGTCAAAATTGGAATCCCAAATTCCCTAGAAAGCTCTCCTCGCTCTTGAATCGAAGCATCACTAAGATGAGGCTACAACGCGCCTATTAACATAGCTGTCGTAACGCACGAGAGGCGAGTTTGGGAGAAATGTGTAGAAGAGTGTATGTGTGAGAAAAAAGGAACATGCACGATTGAATCGCATATTTCTGTAGACCAGCACAGGCGACAATCACGATGCTCTATCTGACGCCGTTGAAAAGGGATCTGGATGGAGTATCGATCATTTGCTAGAGCGATTCCGATGCGACAAGGAGACAGCACTGTGCATCTTCAAAAGACTTGTGAAGATCCGAAAATGTAGAGTTTGGTCCCCACGTGCCTTGAGCCCGATTCAGCTCCAAACACGATCTGATGTTCAAGTCGACTTACTAGGGATTCTACGATTGACCATCCATCACATTTGCCGAAGATGAGGAGTGGGTACAGTTTACTAACAAATGAACAAGCGGCGGTAGTCCAGCTCAAACGCTTCGGGAGATCTTACTTGCTTAAGTTCAACCTCGTCCAAGTAGGGCCTTCTCGGATTTTTGGTGGAACACGAGAGGAGTTAAGCTCTGGAAACCCCTACGTGTAGATGTCGCAGTCAACGCGAAAGTCAACTATCCACAGCTCGAATGCAACGCTTTTAATACGAAAGAAAAACAAGGCAAAGTTTGCTTTTGTATGACACCGTTGAAAAACCTCTTGCTAAGAAAATTCAGGAAAATTTTGAGACTCTGGGACGGAGAGTTCTTCCGTATTCACGTTATAGCCCTGACCTCGTGGCAAATAATGCCCTTCTGCTCCCCTCTCCAAACCATCTCCTAGAGAAGAAAGCTCATCCTAACTATGATGATGTCAAAATCGACATCTGATCTTTCTTCGATCAGAATTCAGTAGAGTCCTACAAGGGAGGCATCGAGCAGCTACTAGTGTGTTGGCAATAGGTTGTAGATATTGATGGAGGGTAGCATGCCGGATGAATGGAACAAAAAGATAATGAAAATATTAAATTCAAAATTCGGCCAGTTTGTTGCAAGACTTATGGACCGACCTAATACAATCGGTTATTCCTTTCTCCCAAAAAAAAGAGGACTGTGAGTCAAAATAAGTCAGCCACAGCATTTTTGAGGTCATCAAAAGTGGCGAACTTCTTCTTGGCCAGGAAATGCTTGAGATGCTCGTGATTGTCTAGTCTTGAGGCGCTATAGCATTCCCTTAGAGTCTCGGAAGGGAAGCAGCACAACAGCACTTCCACCCTTTGTTGTCATAGATGATTCAGCTCTCATTCCCCTGACACAAGATCCTGCACCAACTCCTTCTGATTAAGAGTAAGGAGGAGCGAATGGGCGATTGAGACGTGTGTGACGTAGATCGTCTGGTCAGTTGGTGCGGGATCCATCGAGCAAAATCTTTCCTGTAACCATGTTCGTGAAGGTGTCGAACAAACTGTGATCGCACTCGAGGAGCCCCGCCAATGTCCTGTCTCGGGCTTATTCTTCGCTTCACTGGGATGTCGGTCGTCTTCAAGAACATCTGGTCGCCCGAAGCTAGGATCGTCGTCGAGCATGTATCTCCAGACAGAACAAGCGAACAATCGAGTTTTTCTCCGAATGCGTTGTTGGATTGGAGGCAGCGGAACGAGCGCTGGAACCGCGGCGCCATGTAGAAGACGATTGCTCGAAGTTGACTTCTTGACAATTGCGACATGGTTTATACCAGAAGGGCTCGGGGACCCATTTAAATACTGCTAGCGGTAACTCTGAGATTGTTCTAGAATATGGTGAAATCACGACGGTGGCAAAGGTTCTTGTGGAGACACAACGACCCATGTAAATTTGTGTCGGAATACTTTTGCAATTATCTAATATTTTCAAGCATGGCTTGGAGAAAAAAGTCTGTTATATTGAAGACCAAAG